ATGACAGACACATCTATCACTGTCAAGGATCTTCTCGTTGAATAGACTATAGTTGGTTTAGAAATGACGATACCATAATATTTCTCATATGAAATAACAGCGATCTTCATTTCCAAACCAACTCTGACGCCGTTCTTTGTTTAATCTGACAATATAATATTACGTTAAATTGTTTAAAGATAGAAAATCCGTATTATTACCGTACTGTACCCAAAATCCGTAAATCTACGGATTAATGATCTCCGGCAACCACTGAAAGCAGAACTACGGTATTTATGCGCAGCGCTGTAAACGACAGCGCAATATCACCGCGCAGCGGCGCAAAGCTAAACTAAATCTCGGAATTCTCGGACAGGCTGACGCTAACGCCAGTTACATCTCGGACAGGTTTTGTGCCACGAAATCGCCCACAAGGTTGCGCATTTTCTTATTTTTTCAATCAACGGTAAAACGTTATGTCCAGACAGGGCTTAAATATTGCTTAATACGTATTTGTTTATATCAATAAAAGCATCTAAAAAATATTATTATGTCAATAAACAAAATAATCTACTAAATATGAAATCTAGGAATATGAGAAATATGGATTATTGGATGACTAATATCACTTCCATATCTCTTATCAATATCACTAATAGTTTCGTGTATATAGTAATCCTAAAATATAATCTATAAACCTAGCCATCGTATATTTTTGCCAAAAAAAGAAAAAAAAGGCATTTAAAAGAAGCAACAATATTTCTGAAATCTTACTAATCTTTTTCAAATTTTAAATAAACGGCAAACAAGTAAATTAAACAAAATATATAAATAATTAATAGAAAAAAATTGATAAAAAATAACTAATACGCGGAGATATGGAGTTTGCTAAATCAATTTGGATTTCAAAAAAATTGCTTACACAATAATTGTAAAATTATTATGTTACTATCCTTCGATTGTAAATTGTAATACTGCCCAAATTTATTTAATGTATGAGATAAAATAATGGACCTTTATTTCAAATATTCTATTGTTAAAACCACGCATTCTAATAAATGACATTTTTTATAAATAACTAATAAGAAATAAAAGAACTTAGTACCAAGAAAGAAAAAATAATAATACAGTTCCAAAAATAATTTGAAAATGTTTCAAAGAAATTCGTTTTTAGATCACGAATTTATATTTCCTGGACTGGACTATTTCAAAATGTATTATTTAATGCTGAAAGACTATAAAAATAAACACCTCAAGTACAATACAGGGTGTCCCAGAACTAAGTGCAAGTATTTTAAGGGGTTGTAGATCTCGATAAAAGAAACATATTTTCTCTTTATCGTTTTTCAAATCAGTCCAAAATAACGGAGTTATTTTAGTTTGAAAATTTAAAAAAAAAAGTTTTTTTGCTAAAATTTTGAGAACCAATGGATCTTTTCTTGGTTTTCTTTCTTGTAAATTTAGTCCTAATTTAGACCTATGTTGCCATATTACCAGAAAATATTTTTTTTTAAATAAAAACTAAAAAAATTTCCAAAAAATTTCCAATTTTCAAAATTTTTTTTCACGAAAGAAGGCGTGTTTCTAGGGTTGAACTATACCACCAGTTAAAATACTTGCACTTATTTCTGGGACACCCTGTATACGCTGGCGTAAATATTACAGATACATTTAAAGCAAATATTTATAAATGTGTAGTGTAAAACAATATAATTACCAAACCAAACCTTCCATTATACAGTATAATTAAATAACCAAATTATTTCTACAATATGAAAACATCTGTCATCGCAGCAGTTTATCAAAATTTGGCGGCAATGCCAAGGCAAAAACAGCAATCGAACAGTCCAAAAACCCGACTCCTATTAATAGATAATTTCTTTTTTTTCAAATAGATAAAAACACAAACTTACATCCAGGAGCAGGTGTGCCATGTTTCATGGTACATTCATACGGATTCCTTGTTCCCGGTGTCACTTTCCCATACATCGAACGATCCATTTCAATTCGCGAAAACACCGAGCGAAAAATTCAGCGCGAAAAATTCAAACTACCATCTGTCAAACGAACGTCACTGCGACGCGCCAACGATCACGTGCCTGATTCCTGAATGGCGGATAAGAAAAAACTGATAGTCGCTAGTAGATACCGGCAAACTATTCATTTTCGTCGTGTGTGTATTTTTTTCCTGTTGGTGATGCGACTCCGCCTACTAACTCGCGATGTTAGTGATGTATCTGTGTTGTATTTGTGTATTTCGTCTCGCGACCTAGGCGTCTATGTCCAAGCTGTATGCGTGTGAACAGAACGAATAGTGGTAAATAATAAAGTGCGTTTTACAAGGTGACTAGCGATCTAGTACTACGATTTCGTTGGTCTCGGGGTCGGAAGCTTTTATTTTTGTTTACTTGGTTACGACGATTTTTGTCGAAACTTTTTTACGCGCGTTGAGAGTAAAAATTCAAGGCCGTGACACACGGCCTTGGATGACGGCCGCATGAGCTAGCGAGAGGAAAAGTGGTAACGGCAGCGTTGCCACAGCCACCCTATTTGGGGTAGATGTACCCCTTTATAAAACAATTTAAAATTTAACCCCGCTACCCCGATGAAAAAATTGTATGTGCACTATCTGCGCACATCTGAAATGAATCTTCTTACTAACAGCTATTAAATTGAACATAAATTGAAGGATTTGAAGTATATATATATTTTTAACCGACCATACCAACAGGTATGCTAGGCTATTAAGATCGGCAAAAAAAAAGTTTTTTTTAATTTCACTCAAAATGAATTATTTGGGTCAAAAATGACCTAAATACAAAATATTTTCATGGTGTCTGTCTGTTCGTCTGTCTGTGACACGATAACTGAAAAACCGCTAAACCGATTTTAACCAAATTTTTGGTTTTCGTTTTTTTTTGCGTTTCGCTAGCTACTGTAATTTTGGAGTTACGATTTTTTTAAATTTTTAACCCCCTCCCATACCCCTTTACCAACCCCCCACTCCCACCAAAAACTAATGGCCAGATTCTCGGGTGCCACAGTATTTTTGTGACAAATTTGTGCCAAATTAGGTCATTTATTTTTTGAGTGAAATTAAAAAAACTTTTTCTTTGCCGATCTTAATAGCCTACCATACCTGTTGATATGGTCGACTAATAAATAAATATCTACTAATAAAAATAGAGTAGAACAGAATAAAAATATTTCCCGACAGCCAAACAACTAAGTCGGATCTACTAAGAATCAGCGAAAAACTCCTCCACGTCATAATATGCCCTCGCAACCAGCAAGGACCTGACAGCCTTTTTAAATGCCCTATGTGGATCTATTTTTCTTATATTCAGTGGCAGGTGATTAAATATCTTTTTGCCACTGAAAACAAAAGATTCGTGGACCAAACTCGATGATGGTATGGGGAGCATAATCGCATAAGATTATCGGGTGTTAAAGACGGGCAATCTGGTCTCTGAATTTCTTATGCATTAGATGTGTATGCATGTGCTGGGGATATATTTTTAAAATAACGTTAATCGTTAGGCAACCATTATTTCTTTTGCATAATCAAAATTATCACTCTAAATCGCTGTATTTTTTAGACAAATGTCACTTGTCCTGTCATTATTCATCTCATTATTCGAATTCTCAGAATGATACTAACGAAAGTTTCATCTTAAAATAAAATTTTAATCAATCACAATTGTTTATCTCCATCATTTACCGGATTAATAATACAGAAATTACAGGTCAATTACAAACAATTCATTATTTATAGTGATTTACAGTAATTTTATTAAATTATACGAATATTCTTCTTGATTATTGGTTTAAAATAAATATGACAGTGCCCTCCAATGAAAATGCGAGTTACTAACTATAAATTCTAATTCTGAGCTGCCAAATGAGCTAGATGGTTTACCTAGACCGTTATACACAGAAATTGTTGATTAGTAGTAGTCAGAGATATAGATGTAGTAATATTTTGTTTAATGGCCACAGCTGCCAGGGCTATCCAGCCGGGTGATAGAATTATCGTTTTTTAATAAAAATTAAAAAAACATTATAAAATTATAAAGCTAGAATAGTATACAGTTTTATATTAACTCTAATTTTTTTGAAGTTGCATTCATAAAACAAATATATGTATATCCTTCAATTTAATAGTTGTCTGACAATTTATTTTTAATATTAAAAAAATCTTTAATTTTTAATATTCCCTAATTTCATCAATCTAATATTGTTAATAACAAATATTAACTTCCAATGAGCTTGCATTAAATTCTCCAATCATTTGGTTCTGAATTCAAGTAGAACATGTGGTCTCTCAACAGAATACCTTTAAAAAATATCAAGCCATTTTGGAGCTTAACTAATTTGGACAGAATAATAAGAGCAAGGTCAATAATTCCAAATTAAGAACCTAAATATCTACAAATGGTATAACTTTCCATATATAGTATAATAATGACTATAATATAATTTTTGTAATGTTGAAATAAGTTGATTCGTGACCTTTCTCATAACTCCCAACAATTTATTTTGTACCAGAAAATAATAATAAAACCGTATTTTACGGGTTACAGGTAAATACTAATTGCAGACATTTATTTTGGACAAATTCCAAATATATCTAAAAATAAAACCTGGTTCCTCAACTAAAATGGGAAACTTAAAATAGGTGACGACAGGTGAGAACAACTGTATATTTCAGAAAACTGCTGATCTTCCACAGAAAGAGGTTATTAAGGTTGTGTATTTTGTGTTTTCAGAGAACAAAAAAAATCACTACAGTACCTATGCCTATGTTATACAGACTTATACAACAATCAGATTTAAGAAATGAAATATAAAATCAATCCATATTTTTATCAATGAAATAACTTTGGAATGATAAATTAAACATACACATTTTTTGTATACATATAGATTAACGTTTATACATTTGTTATTCATGAATTAACTACCATGGTTCATAACTTTCCATAATTAAAAGTAAAAAAACAAGTATGTAGTGCACTTACCTAAATCAGAGTCCATTATATTTCCTAGCGAATTTACACTGCAACTCGATTATACACGATAATAACTATTTTTCGGCGGCCGATTTTTCAACTTACATAAATTTAGCTACTGTTTTTTTCAATATAAGTGTATAAGATTACCTTATATGGATAAAATTTATAAGAAAAAGTTTAGAAAATCCCCTAATGTCAAAAATCCTTCCACTTCCAATCTCTTATCAGCTGTTATATTAAGAAAGGTCGCTATCGAGAATTTTAAAATAATCGATATACTGATATACTTCATATTTTGATGTGAAAGGAAATGAAAGGAAATCGCATTATTTTCAAAAATGTTCAATCAGTTTGCGCTAATGTACAGTTGTTATTATTTTTACTTTTACTTTGTTGACCGTGTACCAACCATGCATTGACCTTTGACTCAAGAGATTCTGTCTTGATTACATGCAAATTGGGAATTACAAATTCCAGTTTGTTATTTTAAACATCAATAACCATAATAATAATAATTTGCAATTGCCTCATAAAGTATCCAGCAGCTAAAAATGACTTGAAACAACTTTTACAGTTTTCCATTGTCATGTTAATCCCCTTCGCAAGTTTCTTAAAAATTATTTTTTTAAAATTTTAAAGATTCCTTGTTTACTTGTACGTAGTTCAATGAAACTTGAAGTTAATAACATTAGTTTTGGTTCTGTTGTTAGCACGTCCTATAATCAATAATTGCTGTTGTCGAATAATATTTATTTAAATCGCGTAATTAATTTTTATCAAGATATGGACAAGAAAATGATAAAATATAGTGTTTTGTGGTTACATTTTTATTGTGTTGTGTGTTCAGGTATTTAAGTTTTATTTATTTTTTTTTTTCATATTATATGGGTTTCTTTTTGTCCTTTCATATTTTTTTGGGGGCAATTTTGTAATAAAATGAGTATTTTAATAAAGCCTTTCAAATTATATTTCTAATATTTTTTGCTCACAAAGTAATTAACTAGAAATTTATTTTAAAATATATCTAATATGGGGATTATAACTTATTCATAGAAAATTAATAGCTTTACATATATCTTGTAGTACTGAATCATATATTTTCCTAAACAATAATTGTATTGAATTAACAATAGTATCAATTTTAAAATCAATAACATTTTTTTTGTGTGTTTTTTTTTCAGATCTACCTACTATTTGCCCAAATATTATATCAAAAAGTGGTTGGAATGGCCTCCCAGCGACACATCAAGATTATGTAAAGATTCCAGTCGAAAATATTATTATTCATCACACTGTAAGCGAAGAATGCTATTCCCTAGAAGAATGTGCCACAAGTTTAAGGAATATTCAAAGTTTTCATATGGATGAACTCGAATTTCACGACATGGGATACAAGTAAATATAATACTAAATTATTTTATAATTTTTGTTAATATGGTTTCAAAAATTCAGTTTTTTAATTGGGAGTGATGGAAACGTTTATGAAGGAGCTGGATGGCATAAAATAGCAGCCCATACAAGAGGCTACAATAGTCGATCTTTAGGAATTGCCTTCGTCGGAAATTTTTCTAGTATGATTTTCATCGAAATAAAAGCAGATATTTTAATTATAAAACGTTTTTAGGTAAAGTTCCTAGTGAAAAGATGTTAAATGCCCTTAGGAAATTTTTAGAATGTGGAGTGAAACTTGGAGAGATAGATCAAGAATACAAACTGTTTGGAGGTCGGCAAGTTAGTGCTACATCTAGTCCAGGAGCTAAATTATTCAAGGAAATTAAAACTTGGCCGCATTTTACAAATTCACCATAACATGTACAGATAAATTTCAAATAAAAATTGTCCTCTCTTTTTATCGATATCGATCTTTTATTACAATCCTATAACGCCAACCTTGGAAAGAAAGCAATCCAACCTTAGACTAGGAAAGAGAGGGGACAGCTAACACGCATATTCTCCAATGAAAAATTTTTGAGGCCAAAATTTGATCGGCGGCCATACTTTGGTGACAAGGTTTCGAGGTGACACCAAGCGAATTTTTATGTTTTCTGGGAATACTGTTTTGTTTTAAATTTATAAACTGTGTTGTTTAGTATGGCGAAATGTTCAGCGTATGACTGCAAAGGCCGAAGCGAGAAAAAAGCGGCTGGAATTACATTTCACAGGTAAAAATCGACACACAACTTTTGTTATATGGTCATAAAATGTACATTTTTGTCATTATAGCAGTAAAAATATGTAAAATGCTTTTAATACGTCTTGTACCACATCCTAACAAAACTATTTTTAATAATTCCAAGTAATATTTTCAATATCCTGTATTATAATTAATGTTTGAAACTATAAAAAATGCTACTCAGCATGGATTTCTCCAGTGGCGTAAGGAATTATAATTAGAGAAATACAATTTCTGCAACAAACTTTTTTTTACATATTTTACATGTAAAAAAATGTATGAAGTATTATTATCAAATAGTAAAATATAAAAAAAAACCATAAAAAAATGAAAAATTCTAGTGATAAAAAATCTATATGTATTGTTGTTATATAAAACTTAAATTTACCTGCCAAGATTTGCTGGGGGTGGACAAACTTGTGGCGGACTACTTGTTACTATATTTTTTTAAATATTCTTTCAAAAAATTTGCTAATTTAGGTGTATAATAACAGTTTCAGTAAGTAATTAATAAAATTTTAAAAATAAATAAAATAACACAAAGCTTCTAGAATTGTTTATTTTTTTTGTGGAAAATTAGAATATTCTTATGATTGAAGGTAACAAATATTAAAAATTACATTAGTCATTGAATCCGTACGCAAGTGTGAAGGGGATTGGCTAGATTCATTATTATACCGTTTGATCGCAAAAAAAACGACGTCCAGTTGGCTTGTAAATGACGATCGACGACATTCCCCATATAAATTTACATATAAAATGACAGCGATCTTCATTTCATAGCCATCGCTGACGCCGTCTTTTTTCGATGTCGTTTTGTATAGTTTTTATGTCATTTTATATGTAGAATTATATGGGGAATGTCAATGATTGTTTTTTCGATCATACGGTATAATAATGAATCTAACCAATCCCCTTCACACTTGCTTACGGATTCAATGAATAATGTAATTTTTAATATTAATTTGTGAAATTGTCATTTCCAAACAAAACAAACAAGACGCCGTTTTTTTTTGATCATACGGTAATATGTATATACACATTTAAAACATATATATTTACATTATTTTTTATTTAATTATGCATTATACACACGTTAATAAATAAATAATTGTCTTGATAATCAGTCCACTGTGACTGTTAAATAAATTTTGCATTATCGACTTAGATATTCTAATATTATAAAGGTGAGACTATAAAACACAAAATTGTATATGCATTACTCAAAAATGAACGATATATTAGTTTACGTTTTAATAAATATTTTGTATCGTCTAGGTACAAGCTAATTTCTGATGCTACGCCATTGGAGAATTTCGCGTGGTGACAAGTGGCCTCACTCTCAGCTGCCGTGTTACCTTTCCCCTCTCTTTCCTTGTCTAAGAATCCAACCTTGTCACTTGTCAACTGTCATTGCGCTGTCAAAATAAATGAGTTGTGTTTTCTTCGCAAAATAGCGATATCGCCGAATTCAAAGAGAAATTTATTTTCTTTGTAAAAACAAGTAAGAAAATGACCGTAATTAACAAGGTAAGTTATTAGTCCATTATTTAAATTATGTCGGTTACAAACGTCAAAGTATTTATCCAAATTAATTCATTATATTTTCAAAATTCTAAGCATGGGACAAGGAGTATCAATTTCTCGTAAATCAAAAAAGCGTTTATTAAGAAAAGAAGCTACAAAAAAATTAGAACTTTGCCACTCCGATGAAAATATCGATTATTTTAACGAAAATCTCGATTTACAAGAAAAACGAATAAATTCAGTAAAAGTGCGTTCGATTAAATGACAAGAATATATTTTTGTGTGCTTTCTAGATGGAGATTGATGGGGGCCCTAAAGGCGAAGGGTTCCGTTCTTATTACATTACAAAAATCGAAGAATTGCAACTGGTTGTGGCGGAGAAAAGTCAGAATCTGAGACGATTACAAGCCCAAAGAAATGAACTGAACGCAAAAGGTTTTGTTTTATTTTTTCATTAGATTTTTAAGTTTAAAATTTTTGTCATATTTCACTGTTCTTTTAGTGCGTATGCTTAGAGAGGAACTGATGCTTTTGCAAGAACAAGGCAGTTATGTGGGTGAAGTTGTCAAACCAATGGATAAAAAGAAGGTTCTTGTTAAAGTTCACCCGGAAGGAAAATTTGTTGTGGATATCGATAAAAATATTGATATCAACGATGTAACACCAAACTGCAGAGTAGCTCTGAGAAATGAAAGTTACACCCTACATAAGATTCTTCCAAACAAGGTAGATATTCTAGATTTATTTAAACAATATGAGATTTATGAAATGTTTTAAGCGTTACTAGGTATATTATTAGTTATTTTAAACAAACTAGACTTAATAGTAATATATTTTAACAATAAAGATCACCATTTTAAACATTTTTTCTAAAAGGTTGACCCATTGGTCTCCCTCATGATGGTTGAAAAAGTACCAGACTCTACTTATGAGATGGTTGGTGGTTTGGATAAGCAGATTAAAGAAATAAAGGAAGTAATTGAACTGCCCGTCAAACATCCTGAACTATTCGATGCTCTTGGAATTGCCCAACCAAAAGGTGTACTGTTGTATGGTCCACCAGGTACTAATCTCATTTTATAGGTACTATTTGTTAGATATGTTTACTTACCGTTGTGACTTTAGGAACAGGAAAGACACTTTTAGCTCGTGCCGTAGCCCACCACACTGAATGTACATTTATCAGAGTGTCGGGTTCGGAATTAGTACAAAAATTTATTGGAGAAGGATCTCGAATGGTTAGAGAATTGTTCGTTATGGCCAGGGAACATGCCCCTTCTATAATTTTTATGGACGAAATCGATTCCATTGGTTCTTCACGTATTGAATCAGGTATACTATATATTAAATTTGAAATTACTGTTCTGTTTCAGACAAATTCTAATTTTTAAAGGTTCGGGAGGTGACTCCGAGGTACAAAGAACCATGTTGGAGCTTCTGAATCAACTGGACGGATTCGAAGCTACCAAAAATATTAAAGTTATTATGGCCACTAATCGTATAGATATTTTGGATCCGGCCCTCCTCAGACCTGGTAGAATCGATAGGAAAATTGAATTTCCTCCACCAAACGAAGAAGCTCGATTGGACATTTTGAAAATTCACTCTAGAAAAATGAATTTAACGAGAGGAATTAATTTAAGGAAAATTGCTGAGCTTATGCCCGGTGCTAGCGGTGCAGAAGTCAAGGTAATAACGAATATATTCATTAGGGTGGGTCAAAAAAATTGACTATTTTTTATTCATATATACCCTGAAAAAAAAAGTTTGTTGACACCTCAAATTATCTCCAAGTATGAGCTGTTAATTTTAATAGGAAGGTCCTTTGCCTTTCAGTTTTCTATTTTTTCCTTATTATTAGAAAGAAAAATTTATATCTTGATATCTACTATTTGGAAAAAATATCTGGTCTCATATATCCTCCTATTGCTGCCAAAAGTCACTAACATTTTTTCGAACAACCAAATTCAATGACTAACTATGTTTTGAAGCGGAGAATCGATTGCAAAAGTCATTAACTACGATTTCTGGCTATTTATGTTTTATTTTAATACCGAATACGTTAGTGCTACATCTAGTCCAGGAGCTAAATTATTCAAGGAAATTAAAACTTGGCCGCATCTCACAAATTCACCATAACATGTATAGATAAATTTCAAATAAAAATTGTCCTCCTCTCTTTTTATCGATATCGATCTTTTATTACAATCCTATAACGCCGTCAAATGTCAACTGTCAACCCTTTGTCTTGTCACTTGTCAACTGTCACTGCGCTGTCAAAATAAATGAGTTGTGTTTTCTTTGCAAAATAGTGATATCGCCGAATTCAAAGAGACATTTATTTTCTTTGTAAAAACAAGTAAAAAAATGACCGTAATTAACAAGGTAAGTTATTAGTCCATTATTTAAATTATGTCGGTTATAAACGAAAAAAAGTATTTATCCAAATTAATTCATTATATTTTCAAAATTCTAAGCATGGGACAAGGAGTATCAATTTCTCGTAAATCAAAAAAGCGTTTATTAAGAAAAGAAGCTACAAAAAAATTGGAACTTTGCCACTCCGATGAAAATATCGATTATTTTAACGAAAATCTCGATTTACAAGAAAAACGAATAAATTCAGTAAAAGTGCGTTCGATTAAATGACAAGAATATATTTTTGTGTGCTTTCCAGATGGAGATTGATGGGGGCCCTAAAGGCGAAGGGTTCCGTTCTTATTACATTACAAAAATCGAAGAATTGCAACTGGTTGTGGCGGAGAAAAGTCAGAATCTGATGAGCTCTTAATTTTAATAGGAAGGTCCTTTGCCTTTCAGTTTTCTATTTTTTCCGTATTATTAGAAAGAAAAATTTATATCTTGATATCTACTATTTGGAAAAAATATCTGGTCTCATATATCGTCCTATTGCTGCCAAAAGTCACTAACATTTTTTCAAACAACCAAATTCAATCACTAACTATGTTTTGAAGCGGAGAATCGATTGCAAAAGTCATTTAGCTACGATTTCTGGCTATTTATGTTTTATTTTAATACCGAATAGTTACGAACTATAACATCTTTATGCAATGCAATTCATCTTTAGACGCATTTTTCTCGGAAGTAATAAAAAGTAAGTTAGTGACTTTTGGCAGCAATGGGACGATATTTGTAGGAAATTAAATTCTCTACAACAAAAAGGTCTCTAACAATTTGGAAAAAATATATATAAATAAGGAAAAAAATAGAAAACTGAAAAGCAGAGAACCTTCCTATTAAAATTAAGAACTCATACTTGGAGATAATATTTTTGAGGTGTATACCATGTCTACCAACCTTTTATTCAGAGTATATAGTAAAAAAAATAGTTGATTTTTTTAACCCACCTTAATATCCATTGCCTTTTCATTTCCATTATTCATTGAACATTGTTATTTACTAAATAGGGTGTTTGTACCGAAGCTGGTATGTACGCTTTAAGAGAAAGAAGGGTTCACGTTACTCAGGAGGATTTTGAAATGGCAGTTGCCAAAGTTATGCAAAAGGATTCTGAGAAGAATATGTCTATCAAAAAATTATGGAAATAGTAGGTATAAGTTATTTTGTATGTCTTCTTGTGGTTAATAAATGAAGTATTAAGTACTTGATATTTTTGCTTTAATATTTCTATTAAACCAAATTTTACTACTATAATACATTACTTATAAGATAATATAATCTGCTAGCTGTAAAGTTACAAGTTCAAGTGCTCGACTTCCTGAAATCCTCTCTGAATATAATCAGCTCCTTTAGTTTTTGTTGGTGTGTAAGGATAACCCGGATCTCCTGGTAATATAACTCCACGTGACTCAACTAATTTCCAACCTGATTTCCTTGTCCAATCCCTTTTATGGTATTTGAAAAAGTAGTATGTTGCATACACAAGGAAAGTACCCAGTACAACTTTCCCAGTCGCGTATCTAATAAATTCGGCATGGTTGGCACCTACAATAGGTGTTAAAAATTTACCGAACTGATCCAAAGGCCACCGATAGAAGCGTCTTATTGGATTGTGGGTGGCTTTGTACATTTCCGGTAGAGTTCTGGGTTCGTTAGCAGATAATTCTTGATCTTTAAGCCATTGTCTACGCCAGGCTCGTTCTGCATCGGTCATTCCCAATAATCGTTCCCTCTCGCTACCAATACGACCGATTATACTCATGGGTTTCACACCCCCAGTATCGGTAGCTTTTCCCATTATATATTTATAAGTTAAACTCCTAAAATAATACAAAAACTACAATAAATTACGTAAGGTTTTTACCACAGTTTTTCGGGATGAAAATTTTAGAAGTTTGAATTTGACAATTGATATCTTCGTCTTTTTTTAATCATTTTAAAGGCCTAAGCTGCTAGGACTATCCGGCCTGTTACTGTGTTGCAGAGATATAGTCAAAAGCTATCAGCAGAGCATATAAAATATAAGACCTACTTATTTATATGCAGCAGTGCTATCAAATAAAAACAGTCTACGTTTGAGTTAATTAACAACAGGAAAGCCTGGAATGGCTTATTGTCACAAAAATGCGTTTAAAGAAGTATTTTTATATTTTTTATATCATGCAAGAAGCCATTTAATAATCGTGACTTCTGACAGTTCTGACCACATTCTTACAAAAGAAGAAATAACCTCCCAACTCCCAAAACATTTTAATTTGTCATTTTGTTCTTTTACTTTAATATTTGAATGTATTGAATATTATTTAAATTTTTATAAGAAACATGTCAGAATCCGATGGAAGCTCTCTTTCTCCAGCCGAAAAAAAGATATTTGAAGCTATAGAAAATAATGATTCGGTCGTTCTGAAAGCCCTCCTAACAGAAAAACCACAAAATGTAAATATATTAGACGAAAACAAAATGACTCCTCTGCAACATGCCGCTTATAAAGGAAACAAGGAAATTGTTCAAACTTTACTTGATCAAGTAGTACATTATTACTATCGTTAGTATTTTAAATTAAACAACCGTTTTATTGCAGGGTGCTAATGTAAATACTTGTGAACATCAACATAATTACACTGCCTTACATTTTGCTGCACTCTCAGGAAACATAGATGTTTGCCTTTTATTACTTGTGGCAGGAGCAAAATCTACAGTAACCAATACAGTAGGAAGAACACCATCACAAATGGCAGCATTTGTTGGACATCACAACTGTGTGGCTACAATAAACAATTTCGTTTCTAAAGATGAGATTGAGTTTTACACGTGTGTTAACGATACCCAAACTAAAACCATTTTACCACCATTTTTAGTTGAAAGTGTTCATAAATTTGTTATGCAAGTCAATGTTCATCCGGTGAGGATTGTGATGAACATAAACCATTTTACCAGTCTTCAAGATTACCTTCCCCAACTAAAGAATCTTTTAGAATTAATGTCAGAAAGAGAAATGAAACGAGGTCTGGAAAATAACGAAGTGATGTCATTCAAGTTTTATTATTTATCGTATATTATTGGGGAGGTTATCCAGATCAGACAAAAACAATCTAACAGAAAGGACGAAGAAGATAAACCAGATATCACAGCGATTTTCGCAAAAAAATTGCTCAGTCCTGGCAAAGACGAGAATATGGAGTTTATGGACGACTTTTTAAAATACTGCATTAAAGAGTTTCCATATAAGGAGACTACATTGTTTCGACAGATGGTGGCAACACTGTCTTCAGAAGAGCCCCCTTCTGCTCTGTTTGTAATTAGCACAGTTATTAATGGACAACGAGGATTTTTGGATAACATACCTCGTTGTTACACTTGTGGCGAAGAACAGCCCGCCAAGAAATGTTCGAAATGTAAAGCAGTGCAATATTGCGATCGGGACTGTCAAAGATTACACTGGCCTTGGCACAAAAAGTCTTGTGCCAGGTTAGAACAGAAAAATACGGTAGCCAGCAAAAACAAGAAACCGGGGTCTGACGGTATTGATATAAAAGAATTGCGACAGTATTTAGAAGACAATTAATTTGTTTGATAGCTTTTAATTTATAGGAAAAAAAGTGCTTTAAATTTTAAGATATAATTGAGTATAATAAACACTGATGACCATGAACTTTTTTTTAAATAAAACCCACACATTCCTAACTAAAAATATATTAAATAAACAGTTTACAGTTAAACTGGTATATAAGACATTTACAATGGCTGTTTGTAAATGCCTTTACAAAAATAAATAATGTATTAAATATATAGTTTTAACATTAATAAAACAAGACATATCAAATAAGATAATTGAGAATTAAACGGTTTGATTAACAAAAATAACTCAAATTAAATTAGTATAAAGAGAATTCTTATATAATAATACATACTTATTCATAGGGTAATATAAAATAGTTATAAAAATGGAAAGGTTATTTCAATATTTATCCCCCTTTTATAACATATTTCATATTTTTTTTTGTAATACTTATTTATACTACTTAAAATTACGATAGAGTTTATGATTGATCAAATGGCTGGTTTGACCTATCATTTAGTATATAACAGATTACTCTTTCATATAAAAATCATTCTCAAAAGTATAAAATCTTTAAAAAATTTATATTTTCTATTGAAGCATATATTAGGTATGTTGATTTTCATCATAATATTTTCATTTCTAATCTACATTTTTATTGTAACTGTACAACATCTTTGGGAAATACATACAATATTGCTACTCCATACTTTAAATGACTAGATTATCTACATAATCATGTTCATTGTGATCTTTTGTGATTAATAATTCTTATTTTACCTATGAAGTGAAGTAATCAAAGAACTGTGTCTCAATGAACACAATCTTTTTTATCCTTACTATATTTAAGTATACTATAATTAAAGCTCTTTGGAATAGGTATATAATTTTTCTAATGCAGATTTGACATCAACATCTAGATGGTATTATAAATTAGTATTCTCTTTGATGGTATATTATTTGGCAATACAAAATATACAGGGTTGTTCACCACATACGACACGGAATATTATAGCTAAACTTTTTAGATTTTTACAAATTGTAAGTTTTGGGTTCGTTAAAGGTGTGTTAGAGCTACAATTTAAAAATATTTTTACAAGATACAGAGTGTCCCAAATAAGTAAAAAATATTATAGTTGTATTTTTTTAAATGGAACACCTTGTATATTATTGTATTTTTAGATTCTACGGTTGAAATAAAGGTAAATTTTAATAAAGTTTAATTTGATTCCATAAAATTTTTCTATAAGATCATCATTTATTCAATACTACGTGCTAAAATACAAAAAACAGGTGAAAAAAATTGGTACAGTGGTTTGAAGTACAAAAAGAATTGGCCATAATTTTTATATTTGTTTTTATACGATATTTTTTCAGGATTTTCAGTTCTCAATATTGCCTTTATAGATTAATAAATATAACCACATTTTTCACAATTGCAAAGAAGAAAAATATTGTAATATAATATATAACACAATATTCTAGCATGTCTTTTTATTTTATTATATTAGTATCGTCACAAATTGTTCCACTGGGGCGATTTGTTATATAAAATTATTAATGACCCTCCTCCACTTTCAGCGACAAAACTCACTCGTGCCGAACTCTTGAAAAATTAGATCAAGGCGAGTATGAAAAGAAGGATAAAACAAGAAAAGCAGAGAGAGAACAGTATATAAGTTCGTGACAAAGCCTCTATAGAAAAAATAAAGTAGTTATAAGTATTACAGAATGGTTTATTGACCTATTTCGGAGATTATGTATCAGAGACCTTTATAAAGAAATTTATAGAATGCTAGAATAATAAAAGATTATTTTTTAAGGGTCTGACCCTTTGTGAATGACCTCAAAATCGGTGTGTTTGAATAAATTCATTATAAACTAATTCCTGATTTTTATTCGTTCAATATTGCGGGTTAAAATAAAAAAATAGGCCAAAAAATTGGTACAGTGGTTTAAAGCACAAAAAAAAACTATTATATATTAAACCTTACCGTTTTTGAAATATTTTCAATTTTATGAAATTGCAGTAAAAAAATTAAGGCTTTATTTCTCCAAGGGTATCAAAGTTTTTAATACTAAATATTTACTGAAGATTATTTATTGATCAGATATTGTGGTGCAATAATAAAAATTTTACTACCTTATACAGAGTGTCCAAAAATTTATATTAAATAATTACTAGCTTTAAACGGCAATAACTTGTTTAATTTAAATGGAACACCCTATATATTTTACTCGAATCAGATGCACAATGTAATTGTCTATCAAATTGTATTGTTCCATTTTTTACCCATCTCTTCAAGTTTTCATAGAAAATGCATTTTCTTATAATTTAGACCTCATTTATCACTATACCCATGGAATATTGACATTTTAGCTTATTTCTAAAAATGTAAAAAATTTTTAAAGGGTATAGATACTAATATTGTCGATATAGTTCGCTTATTTAATTAAAAAATAAAAATAAAACTGTTTAAATATTTTTTGTTAAAGAGGACCAATTAATATGATCCCAGTATTCAAACTACATTATATTGTCTGTTTACGTTAAAGTAATAACTGTTCCAAATACTAAAAAACTGAATTTTGTGTGTGTATTAGACAGGGTGGTAAATAGTAACACCTTATAAATTTTATTTCATTTATTGACGAATGCTTATTTATAAAACCAGAGACATTCATTTTCATAACTTATTATTATATTGATTTCTGAGCCAAATACACATTTATTTAGAATAATTTATTAATTAAAACAATTTACAGGTATGTAATTAATTAACTTTTGATGTTTTTTTGTAAGAAATAATGGTGGTATATTTAATTGGTATACTCTTTTACAAAGATTTAGATAGTTTTTTGTATGCCAATGGGCTTGCAATATTTACCACCTGTACATTATGTACATATTATGGTGCTATTAAAAAATCTGAAATGTCAATATTCCATAGGTATAGTGATAAATGAGGTCTAAATTATAAGAAAATACATTTTCTACGAAAACTTCAAGAGATAGGTGAAAAATGGTATAATACAATTTGACAGACAATTACATTGTGCATCTGATTCACGTAAAATATATAGGGTGTTCCGTTTAAATTAAACAAGTTATTGCCGTTTGAAGCTAATAATTATTTAAAATAAATTTTTAGACACTCTGTATAAGGTAGTATTATTTTTATTATTGCAACACAATAACTGATCAGTAAATAAACTTCAGTAAATATTTAGTATTAAAAACTTTGATACCCTGGGAGAAATAACGCCTTAAAATATGTACTGCAATTTCATTAAAATTGAAAATATTTCAAAAACGGTAAGATTTAAGTGTGCTAAACCTTAATCAAATTTACCTTTATTTCAATCGTAGAATCCAAAAATAGAATAATATACAGGGTGTCCCATTTAAAAAAATACAACTATAATAATTTTTACTTATTTGGGACACTCTGTATCTTGTAAAAATATTCTTAAATTGTAGCTCTAATAGACCTTCAACGAACCCAAAACTTACAATTTGTAAAAATCTAATCGTTTAGCTACAATACTCCGTGTCGTATGTGGTGAACAACACTGTATTTATTAGATTTTGTCGATATTAAAAATCCAAAAAAATACAACATTTATATTACTGGTCTTAATGCATCAAGATATTAAGCAACTACAAGTGCCGTTTTTTTCGTTGTTATTTCCGTTAAGTTAACTTATATTTACAAAACTTGGAAATACTCAGGTAGATATACAGGGTGTCCCAGGCTGAGCAACCACAATATCTAGATCGGAGATTTTTTGTGCGTCGTTGTTTTACAACGAGATCTATCGATTAAAAATATTTTCAATATGGCGGCACTTCCGGAAATACCGGAAGTTGACGGCAACTTTCTTATTTTAAATGGGTACCCCTATTTATTATTACATTGTTAAATTCTCTGTGAAATTTTATGAATTTTGATATAAAACTCTCTATATCTAACATTAACCGTTTTTGAGAAAAAAAATATTTAAAATTTTTGGACGAAAAAACTGCCTGTCAAAAAAATGTATATAGCATAAACGTCAAATTTAATGATCACCACAGTCACTGTGACATAAAAAGAAGACATGTGGCTATCTATTTCAAAAATTAAATTGTTCGAATGTCATATAATATTGGCGGTAGCTGTCATGGAATTGAGTGATTAAAAAATTATCGTAAATCATTTTTTTCAAATGGCAATCCACTTTTTTATTTCACTAGTGAAAAAGTTTTTAATTTGTTACTTCCTGATTATACATGTTCCTATACCTAAAATAAATCGTTTTTATGTTATTTAACATTTAGTTAGGCTATACAATTTTTTTGACAGGCAGATTATTATTTCGTCCAAAAATTTGAAACATTTTTTTTCTCAAAAACGGCTAATGTTAGATATAAGGTATTTAACATCAAAAGGCATAAAAAAAACGGGGGTTACCCATTTAAAATAAGGAAGTTGTTGTCAGGTTTCGGTATTTCGGCGGCCATATTGAAAATATTTTTAATCGATAGATCTCGCTGTGAAACATTAATGTGCAAAAAATCTCCGATCTAGATATTGTAGTCCTCTAGAAACTTCTAATGCGCGCTCAGCCTGGAACACCCTGTATACTATATATTATTTAGTTCTTGGATAAATATACGATTTAAAAAGGTTCTTAACTCAGGAAGACAGGTACAGTTTTAACATTTTAATCGCTTACACAAGTAAAAGAATCATGTTTAAAATTGGCGAATTCTGTTTTCAACGAAATCTAGAAAAATAACTTTTAGAGCCTTGTAACGATATACAGAGTGTCCCAGAAATAAGTGCAAGTATTTTAACTGGTAGTATATAGTTCAACCCCAGAAACACGCCTATGAAGTTTTTTTCGCGAAAAAAAAAGATTTTTGGAATTTATTTTAGTTTTTAGTTAAAAAACATAATTTCTTGATAATATGGCAACATAGGTATTAGATTAAATTTACAAAAAAGAAAATCCAGAAAAGATCCAGTGGTTCTCAAAATTTTAGCAAAAAAATCATTTTTTTTGGGAAATTTGTAAAATAACTCCATTATTAACGGACTTATTTGAAAAACAATAAAGAGAAAATATGTTTCTTTTATCGAGAACTACCACCCCTTAAAACACTTGCACTTATTTCTGGGACACCCTGTATAGCATTATTATAAAGTAAAGAAAGTACTGGAGGATAAATCTGGATTTTGTCAGTCGTAGTTGACCACTGGAGAAACCCCTGGTCTATTCTTGTAATTAATTTGCTTTGAATTGTAAAAATGAGGAAAATTTTGGAAATTGGACGAAAAACGTTACAATTAGGGTTTCCAATTTTCAGAATCATCAGAATGAGAAATTTAATCTAAAAAAATACTTGATAAAAATGCCGGTACATATATCAAAAAGAAAATAAGCAAAGAGCTATAGTAAAATAGATTAAACAAAGTAACATTCATATTTAGTAAGTAAAAAAAAATACCCGTAGGACTTTTTTGGATAGACGAATCCGTCACATAGGTATAGACATTTTTTCACAGTTCTTGTTGCAAAAAAATAAAATATAGCAAACACGGAAGTATATAACTTTTAAAATAAAAAAATCGTGCCTTTTTGGTCCATTTCATTTGACTAGCGGCAAATATATTTTTTTAAATTTTAAACACGATTCTTCTATCTACAATTGCCTATAACTACAACATATAAACATGAAACAACATAAACTAATCCCTATTTTGTCTATACATAATATATACTTATTTACGTGGTGTGCTACTATACTTTTTTAATTTAATTATCTTAATTTCTCCATTTATTAGTAACAAAATTAAAAGGTAAAAAACTTTTAACTATTGTATTAATTATAGAGGTACTTGCTTTAATTAGATTGGAACAATGTATCAATAAAACATGTAGTTACAACAAAAACGCATGGTGGGTATATAGATTATAGTATAATGTCATAATGTCATACATAATATTCGGTAAATTTTGGCATTTTTTTATCTCACACTTCGACCGGCTTCTGATCCGTTGGAGTTTCTGCCATCGAGGATAATCTCACTTGCGTACTGTCAGACTGAACTACTCCATTGGCTTGGGTATTGATCTGAGTGTCTCTCCATGGTGTCGTCAAAATTTTCAGCCGCTAAATATGACAAACAATAAGAAATATCACCTGCAATTTTTTGCTAACTCGGCGTTAAAGTTAACGATTTACTCTTTGAAAATAAATTTATACAAAATGCTTAAAAATAGAGTTTCAAAATGATATACCGGGTGTTGCATGATCGAGCGGGACATAGGAAATCCCATGTAAATTTTAATGGGGTCAATTATTGACTTCCCTAATTATTTTAGAGAATAATTCTATTTAGGTTTATTGAAGAGCACTAAAACCCACATTCAAAAGAATAACTTCAGATATTTTTGATTAGCCCGTTTACGAGTTATCGCCGATTTCTTTTTAAATATTTCTCCTTTCTTATTGCCCTGTATTTACTTATGAGCAACAGTCAAGGTAAAAGATAACTGTCAAATGAAGTTGTCATTTCAGAAATTTATCTATTTAGTGCTTTATTATTATTATTAAAAACTCATACCTACATCGAAAATATTAGCCGAAGAAAAAGTATTGATGATTAAATAGTATTATCAAGAAAATAGTTATCAAAAGGTGTCGGACATGTTTGCTGCTCTGTATCCGAATAGACCGATACCTGGAAAATCTACAATCGCAAGGAATGTCCAGAGATTTGAGACCAAAGGTACCCTAATAAATAACTGCAGATGTGAAGCAAGGTAGGAACAAAGAGAAGGTGCAAGAAATGATACCAACTTGGAAGTTTTATTGTGCGTGGAAGAGAACGATGGAAAAATCCGCACAAGGAAACTTGAGGATGAAATAGGAATAGATCACACTACAGCTTTTCGAATTTTGAAACGAAATATATACTATACTGACGAATGCACGTTTACCTTACATTATGAACCCAATATTCAAAATTATCGATATTGGAACAAAGAAAACCAACACAGGTTTATCGAAACAAGAACGCAATATGCACAGAAAGTAAATGTTTGGGCAGGGATATTCGGACACAATATTATCGGGCCATTATTTCTTACGCGAAATTTAATTGCAGAATATTATTTGCAACTACTCGAAAATCATTTTGTTAAAAATGCATGAGCTCCAGACACCCATATTAGTTTTTGTCTATCTCTTTTTTTTGGCCCACCCTGTACAGACAACTCTCATTCTGCGCATTATTAGACAGGCAAAACGAAAGGTAAAAAGTAATATGTAGATGATGCAGCTTTAGAAACCAGAATTAATATACATACAAGGTGTGCCATAAAAAATACAAGGATGATTACTCGTAATTCTTTGCTTCTAGGACCCCAAATGTTCAAAAATTCTCATTCCTATGTCAAATTTCAACATTTTCCTTGGAGAGTTCCTGTTGTATGAGAGAAAAAAATGCTTTAATATTTTTACTTACCTTAGAACAGCATCCAGGTGTAATTAAAAATTGAATGATAGCTATTGTAGGAATCATTATTACCGATGAGCCAGTTATGAGCCAACCGATTACATTGGCCCACGTAGGATAAACGTAGTTTTCGTAGGTTAAGGGTTCGTAGAACCACAAGCCGTAGAATATGATGAATAATAGGAACAAGGGTGCGGCAAACTTCCAACAGAACCTCCAGTAAATGCCGGGAGCGAAACCAATCATGTCTTCGATGTCGTCACAGAATCTTTGGGTTCCTAAAATCGAACAAAAAATCGTCATTATAATTTAAGTAATTATACCCCATACACAGGGTCGCTGTTATGTATGGGAACAGTCAATTATTAGGTAAAATATAGGGGGTACCGCAAAAAGTTAAATATAAAAGTTATAGAGTTTATAAATATCTATTAGCTGGTAATAAATTTAAGTATACAGGGTAACAGCAGAGGCTCAGATGGGCACCAAAACTGTAGCTGTTAAAACAACGCAAGGAACTCCACAAGGTGGAGTAACCTCCCCTTTGCTGTGGAGCTTGGTGGTGGATGAACTACTAGACGAATTAACTCTAGCGGGAAGACACTGCATTGGGTATGCAGATGACATAGTCATGATCGCTTGGGGGAAACATGAAGGCACCTTGTGTGATATTATCCATAGAGGACTCCGTATCACTGAGAGATGGTGTAGAACTGTCGGGCTGAGTATCAACTCAGACAAAACCGCGATAGTGCCATTCACCAGAAAGCGAAGTCTGAAAAACTTGAAAAGAATCCAACTAGATGGAAAGGAAATACTGCCAACACAGGAAGTTAAATACCTGGGAATAACCCTGGACAGTAAACTCCTGTGGAACAGGCATATTAAGAACACTACCAGCAAAGCCATAAAGGCTCTTATGATATGCAGAAACTGGCCGGAAATAGATGGGGCTGCTCCCCTAACATTTTGCGCTGGATGTATACCATGATAGTAAGACCCATGATTACTTATGGAGCAGTTGCCTGGTACACAAAACTAGAGCAACGGACGGCAAGGCTAAACATATGCAAAGTCCAGAGACTAGCATGCGTTTGCATCACAGGAGCCATGAGAACCTGTCCAACAGCAGCAATGGAGGTCATTCTAGATCTAACACCACTGCACATTGTCATTGCATATATGCCAATGCGACAATGATTAGAATGGTCACTAACGGAATTAGTACTGGGAGAATTGTCAGATCAGGGGCTTGGAACACCCTCATAAAGGAAATACCACTCCTGCAACTCCCAGTGGACGATATGCCAAGAACCTACAACTTTGAGAAACATCTCAATGTAGTATTGGGCAATAAAAAGGATTGGAAGAGCAAAACGCTGCCCAGCAGTTAAAAGACCATACCATAACTTGGTATACTGATGCTTCCAAAACCAATACGGGAACAGGGATCGGAGTGTTTGGACCGAGAGCTAAATACTCCGAACCAATGGGCACTTACCCTAGTATCCTACAGGCAGAAATCTACGCTATCGAAAGATGCGTACAACTTATCTTAGATAGCAACTATCGGAAACAAGAAACAGCCATCTTGTCTGATAGTCAAGCAGCGTTAAAAGCGATCAACTCAGTATCGATCAATTCGAAATTGGTCAAAGAATGCATAGAGAAGCTGAATAAATTAGGCAAAGAAAACAAAGTCCTCCTACTCTGGGTGCCTGCTCACCAAGGGATAGAAGGCAATGAAAAAGCAAATAATCTAGCTAGGAAAGGAGCTAACACTCCACTAACTGGACCAGAACCGTTCTGCTTTCCAAGTGGTAACCAACTCAAGGCGGAACTCAAGAACTTGGAAGATTCCATCCGCAACCTGGAATGGAAATCTTGCAATGGTCTAAGACACTCGAAGAAGTTTCTGAGGGCTTATGATCAAGAAAAATCACAGATCTTCCTGGGTCTGAGTAAGAACAATCTTCGGATTGTCGCGGGGTTTTTAACAGGACACTGTGTCCTCAATGAACACCTCAGTAGATTGAAACTAAGAAGAAACGGCGAATGCAGATTCTGTGGGGAAGATGGGGAAACACCAGTACACCTCATCACTGAGTGCGCCGAGACGACAACCATTCGTGCCATGAATTTTGGTACGACTGATATTGGAGATGGAGAACTACCCTCTATAAAACCGTCCCAGATACTGGCTTTTGTCAAAGCCCTGGGACTGTATGATGAGTTATGACTCAAGAAAGGGGGACACAATGGATCTGTAAGGTCGCAGTGATTAACCCCCCTCCCACTCATTCTAAATTCTAAATTCTAAAGTACGATCGATTATTAGGTAAAATATAGGAGGTACCGCAAAAAGTTAAATATAAAAGTTATAGGGTTTATAAATATCTATTAGCGAGTAATAAATTTAAGTATACAGGGTCGGTCATAAAGTCGTGGCACATCAAAGTTTCATTTTTTTTAAACGGAACCCCCTGTATATTATTGCATATTTCGGTTCTCCCGTCAATTATAAGCAAAAATTAAAATACACACAATGTACCTCATACCAACCGTTTCCGGGTTATTGACTTTTGAAAATATCACTTAAACAATTTGATTTAATTAATTTCGATATGTTCAGTTAGGCTATTATTAGTATATTTTCAAAAGTCAATAACTCGGAAACGGTTGCTTTGAGATACATTGTGTGTATTTCGATTTTTGCTTAGAATTGAAGGAAGAATTGAAATATGTAATAATATACAGGGGGTTCTATTTAAAAAAATGAAACTTTGAAGTGCCACGACTTTACTAACGACCCTGTATACTTAAATTTATTACTCGCTAATAGATATTTAAAAATCCTGTAACTTTTGTATTTAACTTTTTGCGGTATCTCGTATATTTTACCTAATAATCGAACGTTCCCATACATAAAAGCGACCCTGTAGAACTGTTACATTTGCCCCCGCCCTACTTGTATGGATTTTAATTATTATTTTTGCTTTAAGTGATCACTGAACAATTTTTTTTCGTGTTAAAATAAAAACTCGAAGTGCAACGCATTTATTCCAACTAAATCAGATTTAAGTTTTGCAGAAATATTAAGTAAATTTTCTAAATATTCTCTACAACTGCAATTTACAGAAGTTTCATCACAGAATAAGCGTAAATGAAACTATGTAGACCTTTAACAATCCGAAAAATTTGGAATTTACTTTGTTCCTGAAGTTTGGCCGGTATAAAATGCATCAAAGAGTAGCAAAATTATTAAAAAATAGATATGCAAACAAAATAGACTATAACAAGTAACAGAGGTATTTTTGAAATATTATTTAACATATATGCTATATCAAAATATAGTGAGTGTATTAATATTTTAATAACAGAATTCATTAAAAATGTTACTAACTTGGATTATTTAATCATATTAATCATCACAAAATAATATCGGAACTTTTATTTTATTAATTCTATAGCATAGACTTAAAATAAAATATAGACTGAGCATCTCATTCATAAATAGCTGGAACATGCGGTCAGACACTGTTTTGTTATTGTTGTGTTATTGTTTTAGGTTATAACGAGTGCGATACGAGCGATAGATAGGTTGTCTCTGTCGTAACGGTCGTTCCCTGACGACTCTGCCGAGAAACACAACACTGTCTTTCGTTTCTCAAGTACACCTGAACTCTCCGTATCATAGCCGGGTAATTTTTATTATTTTAAGGAAGCTATAATTAAATTAAAAATATATCGTATTTAAACTTTTTTATATTTTATTAAGATTTAGGACAGGTTTTTTAAATAAAACTTTAGAAAAAACAATTTAGAGTCCAAAAAGGATAAAAATAATAAAATACACGTTATAGAAGAAATTTTATAATCGAAATTAGGTAATTTTTGAAATTAATAATAAATTATTAATTTTAGTCAAACATTTACAACCCCTAATATTAATCAAAACAGGATCTATTCCACAGATATAATAGAATCGGCGACAGGAGAGAAAAAAAAATATGATTGTTGTAATTTTTTTTCTGGTTAAGTGATGTCTTATTATGTAAATTAGAGAAAACATAAATCTGTTCCATTAAAGCAAGGAAGGTGATAGGAAGTGGATAAAATAAAAACTACATTTATTTAACTCGGTACTGTCTTTATTATACCGGGTGCGTCTCAAAAGTGGCTCATCCCCATAATTTTTTATATTTTCAAATAAAAAAACAAGATTTAGTATGTTAGTATATGAAATAAATTAGGATTGATTGACGCATTCAATTGTTTTTGGTCACTTCCTGTTTCACCGGAAATGACTATAACTTTTAATTTTTAAACGGCACCCTCGGTATATTTCTACTTTATTCGATAGAAAATGATACTCTGAATAGAATGACATATCATATGTCAACTTTTGACATTTTCGCATATGGTTTAATTGTAATTGTAACACGCGGTTCATAACGACAATTTGACTCGAAATACCAAGTGTGTGGTATCAATATATTCATATAAAAATGCTTTTTCCAAATATGCTAATGAGTTACCCTTGTTCCATTTGAAAAAATTGACATATGTATGATTAAAAATACGATTTGTACATCTTTTAATCGGCCTAGACAAGACACGAAACCTATTAGACGATCAAAACTATTTTTCCAAGGCTCCTTGATTAAAATTTAGTGGATTGAAAAAAACTGGATTGAAATTTAAAATAGGATATGTTTTTAAGCGACAATGTCAAAAGTTGTCATATGATATGTCATTCTATTCAGAGTGTCATTTTTTATCGAATATCGCTACTTTAGCAATATACCGAGGGTGCCTTTAAAAATCAAAAGATGTAATCATTTCGGTGAAACAGGAAGAGACCAAAAACAATTGAATACGTCAATAAATCCTAATTTATGTCATATACCTACTAACATACAAATCTGTTTTTTTATCTGAAAAAATAAAAAAAGTTATAGGGTTGAGCCACTTTTGAGACGACCCGGTATATTAAAAAATATTGTTTCATAATGTAATATCATTTTAAAATTCTTGTATGTTATTTTAGATTCTGAAGATAATTTTAGAATAAACCGGAATATATTTTTAATAAAAACATTATTAATTATTAACAGGGTTATAATTATGATTTTGTTACAATGTAAGTAAGTAAATAATGTAATGTAAAAGAAAAAATTCAGATTTTACATTTTACTAAAATATTATCTAAATAAGCGCCTTTCTACAACAACGCCACTGACTGCCAATGGGTAAATTGAGAGTTGCCTACCGGTCAACAGTCGTTTCAAGACTTAAATGGATTATTTAAGTCAAATTTCTTGCAAATTTGGCACTGGCGAACCATATTTTATAGTTTTTGAACAGAAAAAGTCAATAAAATAAACACTTAAGGACTACAAGCTAAGAAAATGCGTTAATACAGCCGGGGAGATAGCGGCAACAAAGCTTTACCGCACACGTGCGACACGTACTACAAGGTAATACATGAATGAATAGGCTCCCTCGCCTCTAATCGGTGTTGTCATATTGTAAAGAACTTATCCTTATTAAACAGTATCCGACTTATAATTTAGTAGTATAAGGACTATTTAATACATCTATGGAATATTAAAACCTACTTTATTAAACTGTAGTATTAATATCTCAATATTTGTGTATAACAAGAAAAAAAATATTGATAATATTAAAGACGTGACAACATAGGCTGGATGAGGAAGGCTCGGTCGACTGTACCCAGAAGTAAACATGTGTACAAAAAAGGTTGTTTGTCCGCGTTGAGATGTAAATAGTGTAGTCTATATTTTATTTTAAGTCTATGTTCTATAGTCATACCCAGATTCTCTGATACTTACCGTAAATCCAGGAGACAACAACTGCCTCAAAGAGTACGGCAATCAGCATGGAATATCCCGCGGCGTATTTGTCCAAAAGTTGGAAAAAATAGAAGCCACCTTGAGAACACGAGGCCAAACCAACGCAAAAATACAGCGTGAATAGGCAGGCTACGAATATTTCTCTGTTACGTCCAATTTTCGGAAACTCGTCGCTTAAAGCCGTTATTATAGCTTCTGATCCCCCAAACTGAAAAATAAAAATTCAAGTTCTGTTGTTCATCTTTTAACTCTCCATCTAATAAAAAATAATATAGAGAGTGTTCTATTAAAAAAAACGAAGGAAAATTATTTTATATTTTAGCAAGTTTGGCGAAGAATTTTGCAATCCAAACTAAACCAAACACCATGTATGATTTAATATTATGATATATATAGCAAAGTTTTAAATATATCATCTAAAGTAAATACCTAATGTACTTTGGACTTCAGGATAGGTTTTTGTATTTGTAATAATTATTTTAAAGGAGGTTGAAAAAATATATTTTTTATTTATTTATTAATATCTCTAAAGTTATCGAAATATCATGATGCTATTTAATATATATCAATAAATATACAACTATAAGCAATATGGAATACTCATGCATCCTCGAACATACTTTAGGTTTGCATTTAACAAAACTCGCAAGTTTTTTTTTATTTTAGGAGCTATACATGTTCCCGACGTACTATTGCCGGATGTATCATAATAGTAAGACTTACCGAACTATCCAGTCCTAAAGTGAGCAGCATCATGAAAAAGATCAAAGCCCAAAAAATGCTGCCCGGCATCGTGGCTATGGCTGCAGGATAAACAATAAAAACTAACCCTGGTCCCTCGGTTGCCACTTCCGTTATAGAGCGGCCTGCAGCGTGAGCCATGTAGCCCAAAACGGAAAAAATTACGAAACCGGATACAAAACTTGTCGCCGAATTGATAAAACTGGTCAGTAGAGCATCTCTGAAACAAAATGTTATCATTAACGCGTCACCTATAAAATTACAATAAAATCGAAAAAAAAACGGCGTCAGCCATGGCTATGAAATGAAGATCAAGCGGCCCAGATGTTACGGCATTATATAAGACTATATCTAGTGACTTAGGCACTATTAAATCTTGGTGCGATTCTGATCTTCTATGCCTCAACCTATCAAAAACTAAAGTTTTGTCATATAAAAGTACTATACAATCTTTTGTACTTAATAACACCACTATTGACGTCCTGGACTCTGTCTTAACTTATCAACCTCTAAAATAGTCTATTATGCCCTGTTTGTGTCGCATCACTTCAAAAGAGAGCAAGCAGTTCAATATTTATTGGGACTGAACAGTAGAACTCACTGCCAGAATTTCTTTAAAAATTTCAAAATACTGACTCTTCCTTCTTTATTCATTTTTGAATCCGTTCGCTTAATCCGCAAGCACATATCCGCTATTCCCGAAAGGCCACCTCACAACTATCCACTTAGGAATGCGGAGCACGATCTTTATCTGCCAACCCCGAGCTCAGAACTAGTTAAAAACTCAATACTGTACAATGCCAAAAAAATGTACAATCATCTGCCTTTGGGTATCGAGTCGCTTTCATTCTTTCTCGCATTTCGCAAAGCTCTGAAATCGTACTTACTGGAGAGAGCCCTATATGCGGTAAACGACTTTTTTGTTGATATTTAATCTTGAACAATTTTGAATTTTAAAATTTTGATCATCTCACACACTGGTTGAAAATCTAGTATTTAATGTTTCGTTCAAACTCTTAAATGATTATATCCATTTACAATTTCCCTGGTGTAAAATTTTTTTCATACGTCTTTTTTTTTGTTTTTTTGCAATGTCCATATACCCCTATGTTCTATTTGTAATTTTAATGACGTAATTTTTTTTTGAATCGTATGATTTGTATTGTATGATATTTTTTATTATTTGTATATTTTTTGTGCTTTTGTTTGTTTTTTAAATGCTTTGTCGATGAAGCTATTTTGGCTTTTTGTACAATAAGGCGTTATTTATTATTATTATTATTATATGTAAAAGTATATGGGCAATGTCATCGATCATCATTTCCAACTCAACTGGACGCCGTTTTTTTTCTTTCGACTATACGGTGATTTTAAATATTAAAATCCTAGAAAGTGGAGTATCTGAATGTGGTTAACATCACATGAGGAAAATAAATATACTTACTTGTACACATTATTGTGATATTCATTATAAGAAGCGTACGCTAGCAATACTCCGAACCCTGGTCCCAATGAAAAGAAAACTTGAGTTGCTGCATCCACCCAAACCTATTAGGAATTATTAAAACATAATATACAGGATGTCAAAAAAAGAGTGTGTCTAACTTTGGTGGGTGATTCTACAGCAAAATAAAAACACTAAATCACCACAATACACCAAAACACTTTTATTTTACACTTGACGCGCGTTTCGCTAACCATGTTAGCATCATCAGCAGATGATTATAAACTTATCGTTATGTATGAAACAAAATTGTTTTCAATTTAATAACAAGTTTTTCGAACAGCGGGAAGGTACAGCAATGGGTAATCCATTGTCTCCATTTTTGGCTAATTTATTCATGAGCAGGTTTGAAGTGGAGGCTAAGAATCAGTTTGAGTATTTTCCAAGAGTATGGTTTAGGTATGTGGATGATATTTTTGCTGTTTTTGACACACATTCAGACACCCTAGATAATTTTATTTCTGAGTTAAATAATCGTTTTCCTTCCATTAAATTTACGCATGAAATTGAGAACAACGACAGATTACCATTTCTAGATGTATTAGTTATTAGAAATACTAATAATTGCCTGGAATTTGATATCTATAGGAAAAATACGACCAGACGCAGATATATTCCTAATGAATGACATCATAGTGTTGAACATAAAATGGCTAGTTTAAATTTCCTAGTTCATAGATAACTTAGTTTCCCACTTTCCAAAGAAAGATATGAAATAGAAAGAGATTACATTAGGAATGTAGCTGAGTGTAATGGATATTCTCCTTCACTAGTTGATAAATTAATTAGAAAACGTAGGTATAGGTTAATGATTTCTGAAAATTCGACTTTTCAAGTGGAGAAAGACACGTCTAAATATTTTTCGATGCCGTTTGATAGAGAGTTATCCCGTGGTCTAAAAGGAATTTTGAAGAATGTAAATTATAAACTTGTGTATAGTGCTAATAATAAATTACAACAATTATTAGGTAATCCAAAGGATAAAACACCTCCACTGGAAAGGTCGGGTATTTATGAAATTTCTTGTAAAGATTGTAATCAGAAATATGTTGGGCAAACTAGAAAATCAATATTAACTAGATTTAAAGAACATTTAGCTCAGATAAGATATGGTAGACCGGATAAATCTTGCGTTGCCGAACATATTGTTGATAATGAATATTGTATAGATCTTAATAATTTAAAATTAATTAAACAAGTCTCAAATTACAGGCAATTAGATGCATATGAAAGCATCAGAATTAATAAATGTAAAAATAGTATGAACAGAGTCAACGGTCCAATTCCTTCAATTTCTTTGTTCCTACTACTCTAGTGGCGGAAATCTAACTGTTACGCTCAGTTGGCTCTGACTCGGTTGGCTAGATTTTGCCACGCCCACTCGGTGGCCACTGAGCGAGTATATAAACGCTCAACTTGTAGATTGTACTTTAGTTTATAATCATCTGCTGATGATGCTAACATGGTTAGCGAAACGCGCGTCCAGTGTAAAATAAAAGTGTTTTGGTGTATTGTGGTGATTTAGTGTTTTTATTTTGTGGCGATAGTGTAAAATTCCGTCACAGCCCTGAAAAGGTACTTTCCCTTAGGGTAGAGAGTACTATTGCTGGTACTTCTTTTACCCTTATAGATACAGTAATTTCAATAAATGAAAATTAAAGCTAGGACTTTTTATGTAAAAAAGGTGCCTTCATTTAGTTCGAAACGGTGAACGGTTTTCAAGATATTTGCGTTTAAAGATACATCGATTTTAACATTATCGGAATCAGGAGATTAATTTATTTAAAATTTCTTTGCATTTTATCATTACACTAATACTAAAATCAATGCATCGTAATCTTTAATCGCAAATGTCATAAAAACCGTTTACCTTTTCGAACTAAACGAAGAGCCTTCCCCTAGGAGATGCCAGACCTTGTCGTTGGTGGGAAGCTCCTGGTCGGGTGCTGGGGGAAATCCCCCTAGCGCCTGGCTTGGTCTAACCAGCATCTCACTCATCGTCTTGTCCCTGGCTGTAGTGTCATGGCCAGGGAATAGCACCAAGACATATAACGATGTCGGACGAAGCTACCCCTGTCCGTCATACCAGGCACCCTCTACTGACTGTGGTCATGGGGGGGTCTTGGCTTAACCGCCTGGACCAAGAGGAGATAACCTCACAAAAAACCTAAATCCTACGATGGCGGGACCAGGTCAAAAGGATGCGTGGCAGATAGAGGACTAGCCATTACTGGCTTCAACCTTGGGGCATCAGAGGGCACCCCATTGTATTTACCCCTTACTTCTACATGCGGGCTGTGTAAAAGTGGACCGACTTTCCCTAGCGACTCGTGGGAACACTATGAGATCTAGCATTAGAAACACCATCGGTGAAGCTGTGGGAAAGCCCCCTCGCGACACTGGGTACATTAGAATAGAATAGAATATAATAAGTGGGAGGGGGGTTAATCTCTGCGACCTTAGAGATCTATTGTGTCCCCCTTTCTTGAGTTATAACTCATCATACAGTCCTAGGACTTCCTACGGTGACCCGTGTCCCTCACAGTCGAGGAGCTACGACCCAGGCCGGGTAGACGAAACGGTAGCTTGTGTCGCCTGTTGGGTTTAGAGGTAGGAGGTAGGCTCCCGACCCTTGGAGGAGGTGGTAGCTTGTATGCCACTTGCGGAGGATGGTCTCACGCAAGTGTCAGCCACCTCTCCTGTAGTTCTCTTTGGGTTTGGCCCCTTGGAACTTTCATTGTTACTGTTCCCAGTGTCGCTAGGGGGTTTCCCCACAGCTTCACCGGTGATGTTTTTATTACTATTATTACCAGATCTCATAGTGTTCCTATGAGTCGCTAGGGACAGTCGGTCCACTTCTACAGAGCCCCGCATGTAGAAGTAAGGGGTAAAATACAATGGGGTGCCCCCCGGTGCCCCAAGGTTGAGGCTGTCCGTAGCCCCACCCGGTATCGTTATATGTCTTGGTGCAATTCCCTGGCCACGACACTACAGTCAGGGACAAGACGATGAGTGAGATGCTTCTTAGACCAAGCCAAATGCTAGAGGGGATTCCCCCCAGCACCTGACCAGGAGCTTCCCCACCAACGACAAGGTCTTGCATCTCCTAGGGGAAGCACTGGGTACATTACAAATGAAAGTTCCAAGGGACCAAATCCAAAGGAAACTACAAGAGAGGCGGCTGACATTTGCTTGGGATCATCCTCCACAAGTGGCACACAAGCTACCACCTTCTCCAGCAAGGGTCGGAAGCCTACCTCTAGATCGAATAAGCGACACAAGCTACCGTTTCGTCTACCCGGAATGGGTCAACCAGGCGGGCTAGACGATCCTCTGAGAGTAGGTCTTAGCGGAGCAGAAGCACGGAGACTTGCTCCAGAGGAAGCAAAAGCGAAAACACTCCTCCGAAACGGGGAGAGTAAGGAAACCAAGAAACAACCTGACTCATCTCCATCAAAGGGCAAGACAGGGAGCGAGAACCTCTCACCTCTTCTCCAGCTTTGCCGCTATTGCTGGACAAGTGAAAATTGCGGTGCTGCCAAAGGATTCCCCAGAGGTTGCTCTGACCACCGACCAGCAAACGTCTCTAGGAGAGGCTATATTGGACGAAGTAGTGGCGATCGCATAGCAACGGATGCTTTTTTGTTCTATTTTTATCTGTAGAATCATCTACCATAGTTAGATACACTATTTTTTTTGACACCGTATATATATTTTTATTACAACTTTTTTTAACATATTATTACCTGAGCTGACGAAATCACACTGAAATTGGGTTTCAGATAGTACTTAATACCTTCAGCCGAGCCCGGTAAAGTGATTCCTCTGACAAAAAGTATTAAGAGAACTACGTAGGGGAATAACGCTGTGAACCAAACCACTTTTCCCGAAGTAGATATACCTTTCCATAGTGAAAAATAACAAATAACATAAACAGCTAAGAGACATAGTGCCATGTCCCATTTTATAGCGCCAAGATCGTGGAGGCCTTGGCTTCGGTGAAGTTCCAGTATAGCTCGACTGAAAATAAAATATAGGAACAACATAAAAATGATTCTTTTTCTACTAAGGGCTGGCAAAGGTTAGTCTTGGGTCGAGATTTCCGTATGTAAGAAGAGTACAATGCGTTTATAATGTACTGAACAAAGAGAGAACAGTAAACACGTTGCCAAACGTACGAACTAAACCGAGAAACTGCGTATATTGCTAAGAAACGTGGAAGGGGATATAGCAGATTTGTCGCAATCCACCGGTCGACCTAATCAGTAGCTCTCTCAGTACTTAAAGTTCTAGGGAAAGGTGTACGTCATACGTCCAGCTTCACGATTTAATTACGTCTCGCAATACTTAATTTATTTATAACCGAGTCGTTGTAATTTTCCCTATAGCTTGAAGATTTTTAAGTGCAAGTTAGAAACACTTACATTTTGGTAAAAATTAGTGGAATTGAGTGGTGTTCGACAGTTGTCGCGCTATTAGAACACTGAATTCAAAATGAATCGATATCTCAAAATCTATTAAAAATAATTGATTGTTGTTTTTTTCAAAAACTTTCTTAACGTTTCTGTTATATTTTCTATGTGAAAATCTTTATAAATAAAAAAGTTACACGATTGCTAAAAATTGCTATGCACTAAAAGTAAATGGATGCGTTGTTTAAAATTTTTGAATGGCAAAAAGAACCTTATTGAATTTTTCTTATTTAAACATATTGTAAAAGTTTTCTTAAATTATCGCGATTACTGACGTTTTATCGTTATAAAAAAATGGACACCCTCACGATATCCTTATAATTCCATTTAAGATGCTCAGAAAGCTATCTAATGATTTTATCTAGTTATCTTTTCGAAAAAAAGTCGTTTAATAAGCGGTTTGCCATCGTGATTTTACCTTACCTGATAGGGAAAGGCGTACCGGCAACGCCGCAACAGCACACCGTCACATTTTTCTCACTCCAACTTAATAAGATCCCTATGCGATTTACTTCCACACATGTAAGTAACGACCCAAAAGTAACAGTTGCCAGCACGGTATAATAAGTACATTGGATTAAATAGAATTAAGAAGGGAACACTTAACGTTCAGGTATATTTTTTCTTTATTTATATTAATGTGGTAGATTTTGCGTAGAGCTTAAATACTAGAGTCGAGCATTCACCCGTGAATTTGTTGGATGCAATCAAGCATGAGATTCTCCACTAAGAACACTTTATGGGGAATCATCCTATAGTTGTCAAGTTCTACTTTAAAATTTAATTTCTAAAATTATAATTCGCGTAAAATTTTATAAATAAAATGACTTACTTGAAATATTCCGAGGCAGCTGAAGCTAAAGTTGCGTCTGAAGATTCGTTAACTAACGACTTATTGTAAAACAAAATATTCTGGGTTATGTTTCTATTTTGGTTGTAGTCGAACTGAAATTTGAAAACCATTAGTTTCTTTCTCTAAATCAAGACTATTAACTAAAACATTACCGGTCTACAGTTCGGGGTGTTCCATTCGTTATCACACGTGGTCCATGGCAACATATCAGTAAAAGAGGCAAAGAAAAACCGAAGAGCCCAAGCTATAATAACATTGTAGTAGAAATCAACGTAGAATGCTATCAAAACTACCGAATATCCGATGCCTAAAACAAATAAAGTCCATTTAAACTAGATTTTTTTTATATTCCTTATACAGGGTGTTTCAAGAAACATGCCATCTCTCTTAAAAAAAAGAATTATTTTTCATATCAACATAGGTCCGATTCTGCTTTGTTTCGTCGCTACAGGGTCTTAAAGTCTTAATCATCTGTCAATTTATTATAATTTTCTTCCAAGTACTTTAGTGATTCCAATTAAATTTTGAGGGTTAAAGTTACTATATGTGCTACATATTTTAATGTTAAAAAAATTTTGACTTTTTTGCTTTTGATATCAAAATTGTGTAGGCCGTTTAATGCCATTTAAAGAATCTCCCCACGAGAGATGGCACATGTTTTTTGAAACACCCTGTATACATTTACAAAATAATGTTATATCAGAGTCTAAAATGAAGTTTAAATTATGAGAATCATCAGATAAAATAAATAAACATCATGGATAAAGTTACTGTAATCTAACAGTGTTACACGTAATATACTTAAATATAGTATTTAAATATCATATACAGGGTGTTTCAAAACAAATGCGAAAAACTTCAGGGGGTGATTCCTTGTTCAAAATAAAGGGTAGTTTGCTTCATAAACGTTGGGTCAAAAGTCAACCATTAGGGAGATATCGCGGTACAAAGATGGCGGAAAAATAATGTTTTTATTTTTTATCTTGAAAACGAAAAGAGATAGACTAATGAAATTTTATGAAAGCATTACTGTTATGAAAACACACTTTCTGGTAATTTTTTCACTTTTTTAAAATGAGTGGAAGGGGTTGAAATAAACTACCCCTATCATTTTTGTTAACGAAATTTAAAGAAAAATCTTATCAAACACATGCAAAAAGATTAATTTGGATAGTTTAGTTTGCTTAGAAACTTTTTTATCTCTTGTATTTTTTTGACAAAACTCACCGATTTGAAATTAAAAAATAAAATGTAAAGCATTACATGTCAGCAAAAAACATTTTCTGATAAAGAATCTAGTGGGCTGCTGTAATTTTTTAGGAAAAAATCTAGTCGGCCGCTGTTACTTTTAGGATGTTCCTAATATTATTTTATTTGACATTACTCTACTGCAATACGTTATTATCTAGATGATTATTATTATCGTTATTATCACTAGATTCTTAATCTAAAAATGTTTTTTGTCCTGACATGTAATGCTTTACATTTTATTTTTTCATTTCAAATCGGTGAATTTTATTAAAAAAACACAAGAGATAAAAAAGTTTCTAAACAAACTGAACTATCCAAATTAATTTTTCTGCATGTGTTTGATAAGATTTTTCTTTAAATTTCGTTAACAAGAATGATAGGGGTAGTTTATTTCAACCCCTTCCACTCATTTTCAAAAAATGAAAAAAGTACCAGAAAGTGTGTTTTCATAACAGTAATGCTTCCATAAAATTTCATTAGTCTATCTCTTTTCGTTTTCAAGATAAAAAATAAAAACATTATTTTTCCGCCATCTTTGTACCGCGATATCTTCCTAATGGTTGACTTTTGACCCAACGTTTATAAAGCAAACTACCCTTTATTTTGAACAACGAATCACCCCCTGAAGTTTTTCGCATTTGTTTTGAAACACCCTGTATATATCCTATAACTAAAATAAATTACAGAACAATTAAATTTAATATCAATGAAATTGGCCAAACATATTCCCAAAATATTATTACCAAGTAATGTTATTCATATTATTCGATTTTGATGTATGCATTAACGCTAAAATATGTTTGTTCAAAATATATTTTAACATACATAATGGAGAAATGCAATCCGTAACAATATATCATTTTTATCGCTGACACGATTTAGTTGAGTGATGGGGTGACCCAAAAAAATATTAAGTGATAAGGTTGGTCAAAAGAGGAAGGAAGGTGACGTCTTGAACATATAAAAACATTGACAAAAATGAGAAGAGTTTTTTAAGTTGACTTATTTTTCTTATCTACTTTTTATGATGACTTGTTAAGATATTATATTTTTTTAAGGAATATATTTACTGAAAACTGCTGGTTCTCACTTTAGGATAAGAAATAATGGCATTGTGTGTAATAATTTCTCATAATGTGGTGGGATATGATTCCCATGATATTATTATATAACTTGGTAATATATGAGGGGTAGTTTCATCTCGTTGGAATTTGACTTTCGAAAAATCCGTTTGCCAAAAATAACCTTTTTACGTCAAGCAGTTTAAGCAGAATCGTGATAAACAATTACCCAACTTTTTGAAACACCCTGTATGATTCTTTAAAAAATTTCAAAATATGTAAAAAAAACAAATAAATTATGCTTGTCCAAGCGTTTTCCCGAAAGACTAACCGTTTTTTAAATAACAAATATTGTAATATTTGAGAGGCGTTTTCACCCTCTTGGAATTTAAGATTCGAGAAACCCCTCCTTATCGAACCTCTACACCCCACAGTCAATCCGTTTGCCAAAACCCAGCTTTAAACGTCAAGCAGTTTAAGCAGAATCGTGATTACTCAATGGTCATATTTTAAGAAACACCCTGTATAAATTTTTAAAAAATCTTAAAATATGTAAAACAACAAAATAAAAGATACGTGTTTACGAGTTTTTCCGAAAAACTCACCGGTTTTTAAATAAAAAATATTCTAATATTTGAGGGGTGGTTTCACCCCCTTAGAATTTGAGTTTCGAAAAATCCCTTCTTATCGAACCTCTACACCCTAAAGTCAATCCGTTTTCCAAAAATCAGCTTTTTACATCAAGCGCTTTAAGCAGAATTTTTCGAAACACCCTGTATACATTTTTAAAAAATTTTAAAATATGTAAAACAACGAAATAAAATATACGTGTTTAAGCGTTTTTTCGGAAACTTGACCGTTTTTTAAATAAAAAATATTGTAATATTTGAGGGGTGGTTTCACCCCCTTGGAACTGTAATTTCGAAAAATCCCTTCTTATCGAACCTCTACACCCTAGAATCAACCTGTATGCCAAAATTGAGCTTCTTACGTTTGAGTGGTTTGAGGAGGATCGTGATTAATCAGTGAGTCACTTAATGATTTTATATACTAGTATAGATTATATGGGAAATTCCATAAATTGTCAGTTCCAGGCCAACTGGATGCTGTTTTTTGTTGGTCACAGTATAAAATAAGGGATTATATGAAAAAGAGAGCGTAGAAATTGCAAGTAAATAAAAAAATCCTTTTCATTTGTGAGTTGTACGTTTGTGAGTCTTGGTTTGTTTATCCAAAGTGACTCCATTTCCTCTACAGTAATTTCCTTGCTATCTGGTATATAATTTTTCTCAAACGAAGAAAAAATTAAATCCTTTGACACAAAAAATTATTATTAGCCTCTTATATATTAAACTTATTCGCCTCCTTTTTTTTCGCTCGAACTTTCCTCTAAAGCTCAAACGAAATATAATCCTTGTGCCATAAGTTCGAGAGACGTCACCACAATGCCAGACTTCCTGCACGGGCATCCGCAGATTATCCAGAGTACGTAATTGAGTTCGAAGCCGAGTTTTATGGACCTGTTGGATTCGGAACGCGAAGGGGAGAATGGCCTTTTATCATTCTCCAAGCTAGAGTCAGAAAGATTGTAACACGCAGCAGTTGGTAAAATAAATAAAATTTATCGTGGACTTGTCGGATTTTAGAAGAAATACGGCGATTGTCGTACGAAAGGAGGGCTTATTTAGGTACTGAATATTGATAGATATACCTGGTAGCACAGAATATCTAGCTACGCAACAGAAGCCTCGTTACATGTATAAAATTGTAGGTAGCAAAAGGAGACAGGCTTAAAAAGCCTGTCTCCAAATCAGATATTTTGATGCGGTAGTTTCGCTACTACATAATAGAGGCAATAAATTTAAAAGAAAACAGTTTTCTACAAACAAAATTTAAAAGAATTTTGTGCAGTGTTGCCATAATGTAATTCATATCGTAATACTTCCTGATAAAGCCTACCTTCAAATTTGCTAAATCATTTAAACATATTAAAATAGATCAGAGCTGTTTATTTCAATTTGCCATGTTAGTTGGAATTAAATCTTATGAGCTAAATTACAATCACTACCTGACGTTTGATTGTATAATTGAATCCTGAATTTTCATTGTAATTCGGCGACAATATAAGTATTGTTATACTATTATGATACCACTTCCTGACGTTCGATTGTGTTCATATCAAGTTCATATCGTATAATCGGGAAAAAAGGCGTTAGCGATGGCTATGAAATGAATGTCGCTGTCATTTTATATGTAAATTTATATGGGAAATGTCATCGATCGTCCTTTTCGAGCCAACTGGACGCCGTTTTTTTCGGTATCATACGCTATTTGATATATACTATTTTTCATGACATTACAATATTATGGTACCAGCATATCAAGTGATACCATAATATAGTACCATATTACGATACATGGCGTTCGATTGGGCTTAAACTTGGTATACTATATCTTCAGTGACATTATAATATCATGCAACCAAGGAGCATATAAAGTGGTACCTTCTATAGTACCATATTTGATGACAGCAATATTAGGTTCATGGCGGCAATAGGGCTTAAACTTGGTATACTACGTATTTTCGGTAATATTGTAATATGATGGTACTATGATGCATATAAAGTGGTACCTTAATATAGTACCATATTACGATACCATTTCCTGGCGTTCGATTGGGCTTAAACTTGGTATACTACGTATCTTCGGTTACATTGTAATATGATTGTACTATGATGTATATAAAGTGGTACCTTAATATAGTACCATATTACGTTACCATTTCATGGCGTTCGATTGTTCTTAAATTTGGTATATTACGGATCTTCGGTGACATTATTGCAGTATTATGGTACCTTAAAGCATATCGAGTGGTACCATAATATAGTACACTATTATGATATCATTTCCTGGAGTTCGATTGGACCCAAATTTGGTATACTTGCGTTTCTTTATAAAGATTTGTTTAATTAATAATTTTAATTTATTTTACGAA